AAACTCCGTATTCAAAAACTGTCTGAGGAGCTCAAATCAAAATCCACTTTACTCACAACTTGTATGGATGTGGCCCACCAGCAATCCCTCCAAGCAACCCTACAGGACACGCTACCCTGGGAGCCTCACAGCCCGAGGGCCTCGTCCCGACCGCCATCCACCACAGCACCCAACCAGGACTCAACCTGGACCGAAGTGATCACCCGTGGTAGGAAAACCACCAACACCATCCCCTGACACCCTGCCAGGCCTACCTCAAGCTCCACACCGAGCAATCCACTGCCCCGGTCCGAGGTCCTCACCGGCGGCAGGACAAACCCCTCCAGCGAAGCCTCTACAGTCCGGTTGTCCCTCTCTAACCACTTCGAGGCCCTTAGCCTGCCAACAACAGCCCGAACCAGTCCCCTCTCAGCGGTGACGTGGTGGCGTCCTCCACAGCGGCTGCCAGAGCTCCCATGAGAGTCTCACGAGAAACATCGGTAATCTTGCGAGTGCTTCTCCTCCAATGGCTGTGGCAGATCGGATCTGGTCGGCACTGTATGCTTGCATATTTGATCCGCCTGCCTGTCCAGAGTGAAGAGAAGCCGTTCCAGTGGAATCCCTGGGTCAGAGTCCACTTCAGACCTGGTTTCAGTTTTTTCATATATCTTCTGGTGTGTGACGCCTTTTTGCTCCCCCAAAGACATTAAGCACCTGATATATAGCTTTTATCTTTTGCAGTTGTTTTCTTCATATTTCTCTTTGCATTATTTTTCGTGTGTAGTTAATAAAATTGTTTTGGCTTTTTGAAGAAGATATTTTCATGTGCAGTGCATGTCTGTTGTTGTATTCCTTGGGACTTTAGCATGCATATGTACAAGTATATTTGCTTGGCCATTTCAGATCATCTGTCATTGTCTGCCACTGTAGATCACTCTGTAAGCTCAAGCATACTTGTCAATTTTGATGCAGAAATGCAAAGTAAGAGGTTCCTGAATGCACTGGTGCTGCTCAGAAAAAAGGTCTGACCTAAGCGTGTCATTGTTCATTGCAAACTTCTGACCGGTAAACTAAAAAAAAACATCATGAACAGTGAAAAGTACAAAGTCAAAAACAAAAACAAAGTCACAGAGAATTCCTACAAGTCATCAATATCAAACACATCAGTTCAGCAAGTTATGTAAAGTGTATCTCCTCTAAAAGATGCCCGAGCATTGTGTAAAAGGGGCTTCCATGGTCATTTTGTGTGTGTGTGTGTGTGTGTGTGTGTGTGTGTATGTGTGTGTGTGCTGGCAGGAAAGGGTAGGCCAAGGATGGGAGGTGCTTGTCAAGGCCAAAAGCATGGGTTCCTGCTCCGCTCCACCCACCCACTCCCACCTACACAGACACACACTTAAACACACACCCTCTCGCTGTCCCTCCCCTCCATATCATGTACCTCTCCACATCTGTCACTCTGGCAAGAGGAGGGAGGGAGGGAGGCAGAGGGGGGAGGCACGCAGAAGACAATTAATTGTGGGGCCGGTTGGAGAGGCAGAAAGGCTGAGAGAGAGAGAGTGAGAGAAAGAGGGAAGGATAGAGAGAATAATAAAGTGTCTGTGGTAGGCATTAATCTCCCTCACTCTGCAGGCGTGTCAGTGGAGGCTAGCTGGTGACTAATGCCACGTTTTGCATACAGTGGTCACAGACAAGAGCTTCCTCACCACGCTGCAACACATGGAAGATTTAACTGCTGCTGCAGCTGGAAGACAGGCCGACATGCTGGAGGAGGAAGAGAGATGGAGGGAGGGCAGGGAGTAAAAGTAACATTTTCACTATGCTAATGTGAGAGTCAGTGGTATTCACTTTGATGCCATTTACACTCTGTGCATCCTCATCCATCAGCAGTCTGGAACAAAAAATGCTGATGTTACCAAAGCAAAGCAAAGGAGAAGATGTTGGACAAAATGTTTGACTCAGTTTTAAAGCGAGTGGACTGATTAGTCAAAACCACAGAACAACAGAAAGAACTTTACCGTCTAATATCTTTAGATTGGTGTTGAGTAGAGAGAAGTCAAGGGACAGTGAAGATGGTGAAGGATTTTTAAGCAAACACAAGGACCTGATTCAAACAGAACGATTAAATGTAACCATTTAGTTTGTCTAACTGTAATACAAAGATATTTTCAAGCTGGTGTTCAATATCCTCAAAGTCCCATCATAACAAAATCTAAAAGTCAGTCTGTATCAGTTCACTGTTAATAGTTTCTTTAATGCTTTAAGGTCCTGACAGATGTTGAATCTTTTGAGATCTCTGCCGCGTCCTTCCACAATGCAAGGAAAAAATGCTGGGTTTTGACCCAGTGTTATAGGATAGTCAACAAAACCTTGATAGGAGAAGGGACAAAAAGATAAAGCTATCACACTGTACATACAAGGGGTACAGAGACAGAGTTGTTAAGTTTTTAGTGTTTTCATTCTTCATTTAAATAAGCTAACTGTGAGATGCCCCAGTCTTAATGAGCCGAAGAAGGGGAAGATCAGCACCAGGTGTAAGCGTTGTGTTAGTTTTGTTAACATAAAGTTAGAGATATAAGATGATGGCGAGCTGAAATACATCACAAAATCTCTGACAAATACATGTTTGGTTTTTGTCAGTGAGACAGAAATATTTATGGTGGACCAGTGGATATTTAAAATTCATGATACTCATTTGAAATCTGTCTTAAAATGCAAGCAATGCAATCCTGTCACAGGCTGAGCAGGTTGGTCACTCTGTCTATATCTGCTGCAACACCATGGGTATCAATCACCTCATCCTCCATGCTCCTTTCTTATTCAGAAACTTTTCTTGATGCATGTCAGTAACAAAAACAGTACCAGCTACAGGGGAGACTTCATTTTGCCACTTTTTTGCTGCAATTACCATGAAAAGCTCTGCGTCAATCCCCTTGTTTTATTCTCGTTTGGAGGGATGTAGTAAGATGTCACCTAGTTGAGCAACTGTGCATGTGAACATACTTAAAGACACCTTTACCAAATTGTAGAAAACAGACATCAAACAACCTCCCATTACAACACAACGTGGAATTTGTTAGAGTTATGGGTGTGGTTAAGAAAAAAGAAAACATGACAGAAAAGTTATTAGAAAGAAGACTTTGTGCAGGTGCTGCTGTCAATTTCTTGAAACAAACTTTTGCATCTGACCAGTTTTTAAGCCCTTCCTCTGGTGGTCATGGGTGGAAAATTTCAACTGTAACAGGAAAATGTGGGTAATATATGATCAAAACCAGAGTGAAAGAAGGTCAGATGAGACTGCAACTCACCTGTCAAGTTACTTGGTCATTATTTCAATTAGAACTTCATGAATTTAGGGAAATTTCACAGTGGAAAACTTGGACGGATGAAGAAATAAATTGTGCAAAAAAGGAGGCTCACAGCAGGAACTCAAACTTTTTATATGGAGTGCAGAGCTGGTTGTGTAATTCATCACTTGTCTGCTTTTCAAACAGTGAGAGATTTCCTCTGCTGAACTCACAGTGACTTTATGAAGCGTTGTTTTCTTTGGCCCAACGAACGGGGAGAGGAAATGAAACGAAAGACACTTGATCCCCTGATATGCCCTCTGACAAACACACACGCACACACACACACAAGCTCCTGATGCAGTACAAGACACAGTAACTTTCTTCTGCTCTAAATCCCCCCCCTTGCAAACACGGACACAAATCCATGAGAAACATGTGCTTTGCTGTGGTTTTGTGTGTATGCACTGTTGATTGATTTTCCCGGCTGATCAATAGCATTTAGGCTTCTTAACTACCGTCCGCACCATCAGTTATAACAGGCAGCCTACAGCTCTGTGCGCATGTTTTTATGTATCTCCAATTTGAAATCTTTGCCGTGTTTCCTCTCAAACAAAATGCATAAATCAGTGTACTGGTGGGGACAGAAAGCTGGGGGAGAAATCGAAAGAGAAATCTTACAGGGAGAGAGATTCAGCATCAGATGATAACTCTACATCTCTTTAATGATTGAGCGCCGTGCCCGCCAGGCCAAAGTTATCCTCCACATTCATAGAGCGGCCACAGATGTATCTCCAGGTAGAAGGAGCCAATTAGCATTTTGTGTTGGTATTTACATTTTTTGGGCTATCTATCATGCTAATCAGTGGGTCGATTTATCAGCCAGGCTGTGATTAATGCAGGGTTAGGGCGGCGGGTGTCCTGTGGCTGAAGGTAGATGGAAAACAACAATTATAAGAAGAAGAGAGGGATTCTTCTCCCTGTGCTCGGCAGGAGAGGACACGAAGAGGAGGAAGGATCTCATATTACTTAGCATCCCCTCTGTCCTCTAATCAATTTACATTTGCATGCAGGGAGAGAAGGAAGAGGGAAGATGGAGACGGGAGAAAGTGGCGAACAGAAGATGCTGTTCCTGTAGTTTTATGAACTTTTTTTTTTCTTTTTGGTAGGTTCAGTGTTGGGAAAGCAATATCCTCCAGGCCTTTTAATCATGTGATGACGGGCCTGGACCTGTCTCAGTGTGTGTGTGTGTGTGTGTGTGTGTGTGTGTGTGTGCGTGTGTGTGTGTGTGTGTGTGTGTGAACTGTGGCCCCATTGATCAAAGCCTGTGCTGCTGTGATGGGATAGAGGGACAGGGCTGGCCGTGGACGCAGCAGCTCCCCGGCTCCCTGCCGTCCTCCCTAACGCCGCTCAGGCCGGCGCGGGGCCATTTGTCAAAGTTTTATCTGATTCCAGAGGTATTGGATCTATCAGTCATCGCGTATGAGAGAGGAGATTGACCTCCTCTATGGGCATTTTTCTAAATTAGACCCAGCTGATATTGGAGCGACACATCCTGCCATTGTAGTTGACAAAAGCATTGTAAAGCAGTCTCATTAACAGCATGTGTACGACTGTAATTTGATTGTGAGTGCAGGTTTTCGACGAGCGGGAAGGGGGCAGGTGGGGTTTTGAGTTGCTTCAGAGGCGTTGGAGGTGTCCCTGCAGTCTGAGTGGTTTCTCCCCTCTCCCTGGGTTTTAGATTGCCTTCCAGACTGACAAAGCACCTGCCAGACATTCATCAACGATCCCATCCATCTGTCCATCAGGTCGCTGGTCCACTCGGTCATCAACAGGTAATGCCTGGCGGCGGGGCTGCCTGCCTGATAATGAAAGATAGGAAAACATCACACACTCTGTCAGGCAGTGTTAAGGTCCATATGTATCCCAGTTAAGACAAAACATGCATCTCATGCATGACTCTCTCTGCGTCCAATCCTTTCTGTTCTCACCTCCCCCTCACCCACCTTCTCCTTTTACACCACTCTTAATCATTTATCATCGTATAACAGCCGAGTCAAAGATCAATGTTGTTTTCTAATTTCTAAACTTATCTCAGGAAAAATAAAGAATATCTACGAGTGATTTATTTTCTGTTAACGCTGTGCTGGTTGGACTAACAAGCAGCCATTTGGGCACATTCCAGCTAAATTGGCCGACTATGTTTAGTTTTCAGCAGACAGGGCTGGTTAATTGCCACTTAATTAGCTGTTTTACCAGAATGCTTTGACCCACTTGGGACAGGTCTCTCATTAGAGCAAAGCATCTGAACTCATGGAGGACTGGAAAACATACTGCAGTAAGAAACACAATTATCAGCGTTTAGATGAATATGTTTAAGAAAAGGTGTTGTTTGGGTTTTTTTTTTATTTCACAGCTTCACGGCTAGTACTCGGAGGACTCACTAGTGGTGACATTGGCTTTTAACTTTTAGAGTTAACTTTCTTTTTCATTGACATGAGCAGAGGATTATTAGCTATAATGTTTCAATACTTAACACTGTGTGAATCTTTGTATCATGTTTTTGTGTTTCAGTATGACACTGAAAATAGAAAAACAGGAAATTATTTTTTGTTTTCCGACAGCAGAATAAAAAAAAAAAAAAAAAAGAAAGGGATATGAATTCAGATTTTGTGCCCAAATCAAAACAGGAAGAAAAAAAAAAAAAAGACAACAAGCATGTAAGTAATTAAAGTTGATTTGTATTAGGATTGTCACAGAAACCAAGTGCTTCACATAGGCATATAGAGAAAAAAATATCATACATCAAACAACAGCATAAAAGTGTCAAGACATGGAAATATACAAGATGTTTATTCAAATGCCTGTCTAAACATGAAAGTAACGAGCTGATGAGCTGATTAACTGTCAAAATATCAAGTTTGATTAAATATAGGTTGCTAGATTGCTTAAACTGCAGTGGACAGCATGAGAAAGAGACCCAGCGTTTTGTGTGTACTGTTTTATCTTGTGCAATGACTATAATCTCTGTTTTATCTGCATCAAGCTGTAAATAGTTCTGTCCTCCATTTATCTATTGAATTAATAAGTCCAAGAGCCTCAATTACCTAGACGCCTCATTGAGTCTGAATGAGAAGAAAAGATATCATTTGTGTATAGATGATAAAAAAATATATATATCAAAACTGTTTATGATTTGTTCAAGTGGTTAATAAAGGGAGAACAGCCTTGGCCCCAGAACAGATCCCTGAGGAACACCCAAGGACAGTGGGGAGGACTCTGAAATGCTATCACCCATAGAAACAGAGGAAGTTCTTCCAGAGACATAATTAATGTTGGGATCTTGTTGGCAGGGCGGGGTGCCAAACACGCTATAGGGGAAACACTGAAATGATAATATGCACTTTTTAACAACTTAAATGCCTCATACAGGTATGGATTTGTAATGCAGTAAACTTCAATGCTAAACTAACAAGAGCTCTAGACTGTCACCCACCGAGAGCCAATTGCAGATAAATGTGGGGATATATCTAAATATGTCTAGGATGAGTAAAAATTATGTGAATAATTACATGGTATCTATGTTCCAAACAAAAACTTACTTAAAACAAAGTTTTACCTGTATTCTTTCAAATGTTTGATGTATGTGGTTTCTTACTTTATTTACATTGCCATACACAAAAAGCAATATACTGGGACATTTATAGAATAGAATAGAAAAGAATACAGTTGTTCAACGGAAATATAGAGCTTCCCCCGGTTTCAGTGCACACAAGAATAGAGCAACTAAAATAATGTGAGTATAAAAAATCTTTATATTTAATAAAAGAAGAGAAATAAGTGTACACAATCTTGAAATGTAATTGCAAAAAGAACCCTGGCCCTAATTATCGAGATGCTGGGATGAGTCGATGATGATGACTCTAAGCGTGAAGGTTGGAGGGGTGACCCCTGACATAGCTCCTGTGAGTCCGTCCAGCCCAAGCCATGGCGTGTGGCTCCAATGAGGAGGTCCCGGTCATGTTTACCAGACTCCCACCACACAGCGAGGTGGCGAGAGGGGCGGCACAGCTGGAGGTGGGTGGAGAGCAGTGGGTGATGGAGAACCTAAAACAGAGGGACTTCTCAAAGGCAAGTTAGCAAAGTTTCTCCTCTTTTTTAACAAACGCTTCATATTATAGAGTTTGGTGTGAGAATGTACTAAACAATTAAAAATTTTTGAGTCACACAAACAGGATGAAACTTGATCACCTGAGCCTGGAGATGTTTACCCTGTGGAGAATTTGAGGCATGGAGAGTCATAATGAAAAATTAGGGTGGATGTTTGACTTTTAATTCTGACCAAGCTGGAAATATTTCAGTCAGATGACTCATGGCTGAATTTTAAACTCCTCCTTAAACCCTAAACCCAAAGCCCTAAACTCTAAGAGCTAAATCAAAACCCTTAGCCCTAAATATAAGCCTGAAACCCTAAACCCTAAATATAGGCCCCAAACTCTAAGCCCTAACTTGAAACTCTAAGACCTAAATATATGCCCTAAACCTTAAGCCATAAATATAGGCCCCAAACCCTAAACCCTTAGCCCTAAATGTAGTCCCTTAACCCTGAGCCCCAAACCCAAGCACTAAATCGAAACCCTTTGTCCTAAATATAAGCCCAAAACCATCAGCCATAGATGTAGGCCCTGAGCCCTAAACCCTTATCCCTAAACTTTTTATATAGTCCCTTAATCCCAAGCCCTAAACCCTAAACACTAAACCCTGAAAGACTTAATTGATGTTACCTGGAATGCGAATGAGTGCATGGAAACGTATTATGCTCAAAATGAGTATTGAGTATTACTAGACTGGAGCAGCACTTCCTAACTTTTACACTTAACACTGACAGAACATCATGCTGTTCTATAAAGAGGCATGTTTTAGGCAGACTATGGTGTCAAGTCATTCTTACATTCACGTTTGGCACTTTTACAGCAAGTACAGGGTTGGGATATTCACGATTAGGTTTCTGCTCACAAAATGCTACATGAAAAATAGAAACAAAATAAATGTAAATTATCTGTTGAGCCGCTATGTTAAACTTCGATGTATACTGACAAAACATTGTTAGTGAGCTATGGTGTTAGTTAGCTTAGCCTTACATTGAAGCAGACATATTTATGCTTGGTTATTTTCTTGACATTTAACTGGGAGTGGGGCCTTTCACAGTGTTTTATCCACTGTAGGCAACACTCCTTCTGTGTTTTTGGTTTTGGAAAGGGAAAGAAAATGACTACCCAAGCCAAACTCTGTCCGACTTGCTCACGCTGTGGGCACATTGCTTCACCATTTCACTAGTGGTCTGTGGCTTGTTGGACCCTGCTTACATAGTAACAAATGCTAGGCTGTGTGATTGGACAGTGACGGTTTGGGGGCATGGTTTTGTGAAAGGTCAGTTATTTACGTATGTCAAACACTAACACAAAACACAATACATAAGAACTGTCACACAAATCAAAAAACAAAATGTCGATTTATAGAATAAATTAATTTACAGAGTACATTTCCAAGATTTTACATAAGATAAAAATTCAATTATAAATCAAAACAAAATGAATTCTAAAGCATAATACAATATTGTTATATCAATACATAGATGCATTTATCAGTCTCTGTAGTCATGAATTTCATCAAGTGACAGGGAGTACATCAAATACCATTTCATAGTTATCTGAATTTTATTTTTATTTTTTTATTTATAACCAGGGCTTACTCTAAACCCAAGGATATATTAGGTGAAGTAAATCCAACGAAAAGACTAGTGCCCCGCAGCACACCAGCAGGCCCGAGCAATTCCATGCTGCCACCTCTGTGGACCGCCTCCCCAACAGACCCCCACTCTGTCGCATTGCCTGTCATTTCCCGTGCAATTCTCTCTGCGTCAGCCAGGACAGTTGTGATGGCTGGTGCATGTGGACGGTGTTGCCAAACTAAGCCTTATTATGAAAAGTTGTACATCAGTCTGAAAGTAAACTATTGTTGGTACCTGTGGCTGCAGTTTCAGCTTTCTATTCATAAATCCCTAGGAGGAGTTTGGAAAACACCTTAAAAAATCTCAAAACACCAATATTCAAACCAAAATGGCCGACTCTTGAAGTCCATGGTGATGTCTTTTGTCTTTGTGGTGTTCAGAGCCAGGTTGTTGTCAGAACATCAGGTCTTGAGCTCCTGGACCTTCTCTCTGTAGGCTGCCTTGTCTGCTTTCGACCAATGTGGTGTTGTCAGGAAATTTCACAATGATGTTGTTTCCATGGGCCGGGCTGTAGTTGTGAGTGTAGAGATGATACAGGAGGGGCCTTAGCACACCAGCCCTGTGGTGAGCTGGTGCTCAGAGTGTGGGTGGAGGAAAGGTGGGGACAAGGCCTGACAGTCACAAGTTCAGGTAGTGGGGATGACTGGTTTATTAAATTGCAATTCAGAGATGTGAATATTAAAAGGGTTAATGTTTCCTCTGTGGCCCTCTGGCCTCTCGAGTTAACAAACCCACTTTGTGAGTTAAGGCTTATATTGATCAACAGTAAATCTGTTATTTTATCTGTAACACTATACCATAACATCTTAGTGAGCTGTACTTGAAAAATATGTTTGTGACACAAAAATTTATTGAATATTTCAGCCAGTAAGGAATATATTTGGCCACTGAGTCAAAAACTTCATTTTGGACCCTGCAAAATAGCCAATTTGTAACTTTCTGAACATCTCATTGTATGTTTTATTTCTACCTAGCTCACAGTATAATATTCTGGAAGTGATAAAAAAGGCATTGGTTTTCGTTGTTGTTTTACTTATTCATATTTACTGCTTAACTTATGTGTTAAGCTGATTTTCCTATTACAAAGTGAATAGAGTTTGTATGAATTCAAAAAGTTGTCATAACCTTCATGTACATTGTCACTTTTATTAACAAAAGAGGCAGGAAAAGCTGCAAACAGCAACTTACTGATATATCAGCTATCAGGTTTTGGCTCAGGTGGATCCAGCTCTCAGTATGTGTTTGGTGTAACTTTGTTGGCAACTACAAATCGATAAATATGACAATGAAAGGCATCTAAACAAACTGAGCAGACTAAAGTGGGGCTGTTTATCTCTGAATTCAGAAGACTTTGAGTTGATGTCATGGTGGTTGTGTTATTGGTGATGCTCCAGCGCCCCACAGGCCCCCCTCCGGAAACAGTTCGAGCTCAGTGAGCAGCCCTTGCTCTGGCTCAGCACCCTCCTGGCTACATCAATATGCCCCCGAGTTTCTCCAACAAGCCTAAACACATGGACACGCTATTAGACTTCAATAAGACCTGCATCCTCAGACATTAAAGATGGAGCTTTGCTGGCAGGAAGACGAGCTGTTTCCCCTGTAAACCTTCCTCCTGCGTTATCAGTCACACTTCAAACTGGCATGTCAGACACCCCGGATCTGAAGACTTAAAGTCAGAGCTTTTAATTCTGCTCGGTTCGATGCCCATCTCTCTCTCTCCCTGTCTGCCCAAGAATCTTTTTCCACTGACAGAGAGCAAAAAAGGCAGAGACGTGCAGCTTCCACCATACAGATATTGGCAGAGTGTCATCGAAATGAATGAACCGCTCTTGCATCGCAACTGCCAGCTTGTCAGCCGTGAGCTGGGATGCATGACTGACACCCCCTGATTGGTCGATTTAATATAGAGAGAGATGGAGGGAAGTAGACTGGTGCATGCCTTTCCTGAGCGGGAGATGGAGGAAGAGGTGTAAGTCCATTTGTCGAAGACATGAAGCGCTAACTCTCTAGGTATGGGCCTGTACGCCTTGTTAGAGAGACGGAAGGGTTTTTTTAAGCCTGAGGAAAAAAAGGAGTTAGCATGCAGTTTGTTATCGCTTCACCCCGGATGTTTCTGACAAATCGACTCAGACAGCCATCAGACGGCCTGGCAGAACAAGACATTTCAAAAGCTGGTGTCAAACCAAAATACAGAGAGGCTAAAGTTCTTAGCAGAGCTCTGGGGGCTGACAGGACTAAAGCATCAGTGCACTCAGTGTAACCTACATGCATCACCTTTTCTCTGATGCACATGACCCCTGAGATACAATAGATTAACAACAGCATCATTTTCAGCAGGTTGACTGCACAGGAAATGTTAGGCTGATTTTATGCTTCATATTGGATTACTTGTATTCTGCTTCGAGATTGTTTTTAAAGAATACAGTAAACATCATTTTTCACCCTAAATACATGAATCAGCAGGAAGCAAGTAAAGAACTGCCCTAATTGCTTTAGTCAATGAGTAGACAATGCAGGAGAGTGAACTTGAGCCAAGAGAGAACAGTGATGGGTCAAGGTCTTAAAGAGGACACGGAACACTGACCCAAGTTATCATTATTTTCAAGAATACCTCTCGACTTCACAAATCACTGAATTCATGACTCTCATACATTTCTAGAAACTGTGACAGAAGTTCCACTTTAGCGACACTGCGGGGAACCGTAAAGCAGTGCCACTTCATGTGATGTAATGGGTTGTGTAGCCCGTGTATTGACAAGTAAATGAGAGCAGATTAGGATGGCTGGAATGGCGAATGAGAGCCAAAGACATGCATACCTTGTGAAAGTGCAACATTTTGTCCACTGCATCACTGGGACTTATCTTAGTCCTCTTCCGTCCAGCTGTGGGTGGCAGGAGATGGAGAAGGAGCAGCAGAGAAGCTATGTCACTGTCCCAGGCTATCAGGAGGAGAATAAGATGGGAAAAAAGCCCAATAGTATCATGTAGTAATACCCCTAGTAACCAGCACTTGCAGTTAGAGATAAAAATCAAACATTAGCTTACTGTTGTCATCATTGTCTGTCTGTTTCTCAGCAGCTTTTAGAAGTCGGTACAGGTCAATTGACTGAGTCAGGTGTTTGGCCTCACTGATAATCTTGGGCCTGAAAGTTGTGTCCCACTTCTGAAGCATCTTGGAGACTGTTTCAGCTCCAAACAGTAGGACAAAGTCTTGATTCATCTGTTGATCATAGAAGCATACAAATGCACAAAAAAATTTAAAAAGTCAGCATATTGTACTTACATTCAAGAAACAAAATAATAAACTCTAAATAAATAACAACTCACCAGCCCTTTGACATCCAAGAACCGTGGGAATGTTTTAAAGACATATGTCGTTCTCTGTGGGTCATGCACTAGGTTTTGGTGAAACTGAAAGGTCATGTTCATCTTCTGAAACACACTTACTTCATCATGGGAGTGATTCAGAAAGGATATGGCTTCCCTGCATGCATCTCCATCAAGCTGCTCTGGCAATGTGGCTGCCAATCTTCTGCGTTTTGGCTTACACTCTAATCATACACCTATAGCAATGACCTATAGCAATATTTTTTCATATTTGGCCAATTGTAAATGATGATTTCGTTCAAATGAATAACAAAGTATGCTACTCCTGACTTTTCACTGATTGGGATATGGTTGTTGTTTTTTTTACACTGTTCATGGATAACAGAGCAATGTAACTACCTGCATCAGGGATCCTGTCACATACTGTAAGTCATAAATCCGGACTGGCCTCTATCAGTTCAGAAAAAAAGTCTTCCTCAATTAGTGTGTTGGTTTCATCAAAAGCATAAAGTTCCTTTTTAACCTCTGAAGTTAGATGAAGTTTTAATTTGAACACCACAGCATCAGAATGTTGCATTTTCATCGTAACTAACACAAGTGTGTTCATGCAAAAAGTTTTGGGGGGCAGATAGATATCCAAATTTAACATTAAATATAGCCATCCCAAAAACATTAGTCCTTGTGTATTGTTGTGAGGGCAACTATGAGATGGCTACTCACCTTGAGCAAGGAAATCCACAAAGGTGAATCCTGACGTTAACCGGATGTACTTCTTGGTATTTTGGTACTTCACCTTGAGCAACATTGCCACTTCTTTTGACTGCACCTTGTAGAGTAAGTAGAGAGGTGTGGAAAAAATTAACTTTTGAGACTGAGATGGACCCAACGTGGTACTTGGCAGAAAGTGAAGTGTTGCGAAAAGCTACAATTTCACTACGATTACAACACCACCCCTCCCCCACGTTGTCGCACACTTCTAAATTTGACAAAGTGGCATAATTTGACGGGAAAAAAAGTTAGCTAATCCACAAATGGTCAAATTACTGTATTTCATGGTGTCCCCTAGTGCATTATAAGCCTGGCGGACTGTCAGGCTTTGCTTTGAAGCCAAATGTTGCTAATTTATTTATTTTTAAACACTGACATTAGCCAGATCCTCCCGAACGCAACACTGACATTAGCGGGACCCTCATCTAACTTGTTGTCACCTTACCATATTCGCCACCAATGAGCACCAGGATAAGTCTAATTCCTGGGGAAAACCCTGTTATCACATTTCTTTCAGATACTCAATATTTGGCCGGATAAATAACTTTCCACTAAACAAGTTTGTTTTACTGCAAGCAACCACTTCTAGGTAGCGATTCCAAACCTTGCAAGCTACAAGCAGTGAATGTAATTCACACCAATTGCCTCAATCAGCGTCAATGACAACGGAGTCGCATCACACCACATGATATTTTAACATGACTGTCATTACAATCCTGTACAAGGTAATATATCCAGTTCTTACCCTATGGAAGCCGTACTTTAAACAGTCTAAACCCGGGTCTGCCGTGTCCTCCTCATTCTCCCGCTTCCAACCATAGTGAGGCAGATATGCGCGCAGATATTGTCTTCTTCTTCTTCTTCGTTTTGGTTTAATGGCCCGGATATTGACATCAACACAGCCAGGAGTGAATGTAACTCAGTCACAGGTGCTATCATGTCACTTGCTTTATTAACACTGCTCGCAGAGCTATTTCATCACTACAAGTGTTAAAACAACACCAAAATCAACACCCACCAACTCAAAATTATTAACACTGAAAAAGCAACACTACAGATTTTGCCATGCAGCTTTTCCACAGCTCACACATGCATGCAGCAGCAGCAGCAGCAGCAGCAATCAGATGTAAACATCAGTATTAAGTGTAATAAACTTCATCACCAGAGTCTCCACTGTTTAATGGAGAGCTGACATAAAATAACAGAGGGAAAAATGTCTTACCTTCACTCTGGTGTCTAAAACAGTCAGCATTATCAGTCGTAAATACATTCTTGAAAGCGGTTTTCCTATTAAACAGCAGATTTTTTACACAAAAAAATATTTCAGACTCTCTCCTAATTGATTTTTTTTACCACGTGAGGATGCCAATGTGGTGCTCTTCATGTCCTCTTTAAGACTTATAATGAACCTCTAAGCTCCATGGTAAACAGTATTCAAGAGATTGAAGGCATTGATGTTGGCTAAATTGCTTGGTCATGTCGATTTGCCCTCTATAACGTCAGGAGGATCAGACCCTACTTGAGAGAGCATGCAGCACAGCTCCTGGTACAGCCGCCTGAAATCTCATGACTGCATCTCCTTACTGGCAGACCTCGCTGCATGTGCATTTAAACCTCTGCAGATGATCCAGATCTCAGCAGTCCGTCTGTTCTTCAGCTGACCAAAAACAGCACATCACTCTGCTCTTCATCTCTCTTCACTGTGTTCCAGTAGCAGCATGCTTCAAATATGAAGCCCTACTTCCTGTTGAAAATATTGCAACTAAATCAGCTCCAACCTACAGCTCCTGCAGTGCTCTCATCACAGCAAGGCTCGAAGCCACTGGCCAGACTCTTCTGCTCTGTTGTCCCTCAGGAGTAAAATAAATGACCAAACTCTATCAGATCTGCAGAGTGCCTTTCTACCTCTAAGAAAAAGGCTAATGAAGGCTGGTCGAATGAATAATACAAACACTTTGATCTAAAAAGTCCTCTTCTACGTCTGAGACATTTTGAACCCTGCTCTTTGTGAAGAACTCAGCAGTTGGTAGCTTAACCATCTTTACCATTATTATGTTAAAAAAATGAATAAATGAGTGCCAGACAGCATCTCCAAAAATAAAAAAACAGCAATAACTATACAACATAGAGCAACATTTAGTGCTACCAGCAGTAGTGCAAAATAACACAAAACATCAAAGTCATCACTGACTTTGTCAACTGGTGTGGCACAAACCACCTCCAGCTCAACGCCAGTAAGACAAAGGAGATGGTTGTGGATTTCCGCAGGAGGGGGACACCTCAAACAGTTCCAGTGAACATACAGGGTCTGGACATCGAGATGGTGGAGTCCTACAGATTCCTGGGTGTCCACCTCAACAACAAACTGGACTGGTCAACAAACACAGACGTTCTGTACAAGAAGGGCCAAAGTCGTCTCCACCTGCTGAGGAGACTGAGGTCCTTTGGAGTGTGCATGACTCTGCTCAGGACTTTCTATGACTCTGTGGTAGCATCTGCACTTTTCTATGCAGTGGTCTGCTGGGGGGCAGGGAGCACCGAGAGGGACAGGAAGAGACTGAATAGACTGGTCAGGAGGGCCGGTTCTGTCCTGGACTGCTCTTTGGACTCCCTGGAGGAGGTGGGTGAGAGGAGGATGTTAACAAAGCTTATATCCATCATGGACAATCCCTCTCACCCACTGCACCAGACTGTGGGGGCTTTAGGCAGCTCCTTCAGCAGCAGACTGAGACTCCCACCCTGCAGGACGGAGCGCTACCGCAGATCATTCCTCCCCTCTGCAATAAGACTTTACAATGAACAGTAACAAAACTGGATTTACACCACCACTTTTTTTTATGGCATTTAAATTGTGTATATTGCAGAAAGCTTTATTTTTTCTTCTCCCTTTTCTCTTTTCAATTTTTTTTTTTTTTTTTTTTTTTTTTTCTTAATTATTACATTTATTAAGTTCTTAATATTAGGACCCTTATTGTTATAACTGCATTTTGCACTTTCTGTCTTGTCTGTGATGCTGCTGTGACAAAAAAATTTCCCCCATGGGGGATCAATAAAGGAATATTCTATTCTATTCTTCTATTCTTTTACTTGCCCCCAGGAATAAAGGAGGCTCTCCATGCACCTTCACACCTGCAGCTCTTAAACTCTTCTCAGACGCCTCTCCAGTGCCAAATCATTCCCGAATCCCATGTGGAACATCAGCCAACTCTGCTGAAGTTATCTCGGGTCAGTACCTGTTGAACATTTCCAGTTTTAGTGTGCTTTCTTTGTGACTTACCTGTGTTTCTTCCAATCTCTGCCGGTCTCTCTGGATTCATTCACCTGCTTCAGCCACAAGCCCCCACACCTCCAGCCCTCACCACTCCTCAGATTCCTCCCTTGCACCTAAGACCCTGGATCCCTTCCCTCCTCCTTCCCCAAATCAATAAATTCACTGTAATGCTTTATAACATGATGTAAGTCGAGGATTGCCATAGTAGGGTGTGTAGTCGTCCCCACCCCACTGATTTGTCAAAGATATGACAGCTGCTGTCCAGTCTGTAAAGTCAAAAAGGCTGGTACCCCCCGGTTTGACTCCATCGATCATGACTGTTTTGGTGAAAAACTTGTGTTCATGCCCCAGTGTTTGTCTCTCTGCAGCCTTCTCTTGGCTGTGTGAGCCTCTGGTTTACTCTGTTTGAGAAACTGCCGTGCAGCTGGATGCTGACAGGCCAAAGCAGAACGCACTCTGTTTCAGCATGTAATTTCATGTTACTGGGAATCTAACATTATTGTTTCCCCCCCTCGTGCTCCAATTTAGAGACAAATCAATATTCAGCTTTGTTTATCAAAGTGACAGCTCCTGGATATTGCATTTTGCATTTTTATGTTTTCTTTTATAAGCGGGTATTAAAACATAATATATCTGAAGTCTTGGTTTTATGTGCTGACAGAGGGAGGGAGGCAGTGTTAATGGTGGAAAACAGTTGAGGAATGGAGGCTCCTGTTCATACACTCATACTTTAGATTATCCATCAAACACATCAGCATCAGTGTTTGCCTAATGAAGACGCTCTCTCTCGGGGAGTGTCGTCGATAACAGACAAACTCACAGAGGGATTCCAGCAGGAGTGTGTGCAAACAGGCTTTTAAGACAGTGTTTATGTATGTTTGCGTGCACTCGTAGATATAGGAAAAGTTTCCTCTTGACGTCTTGGTCCCAAATCATGCATTATTTGCAAACCAAGCATAAAGAAATGACAATGGCAGCCTTATGCATACAAATCAGAGCCCATTATCCACCTCAGAGTGTCAGTGAGCGTTCTGTATGTGAGGGGAGACTTGGCCGAGGGGAGTCGTACCAGAGGTCCTGATGAATGCTTTGGCTGATTGCCCCTGTGAGTGATGGAGCACTAACCCTGTTTAGCTTCTTTAATATACTTGTATTAGCATGAATAAATAACGAGTGTGTCCGGATGCAACAAATATTTGATTGTGTCTCTGTAATAGGCCGCTGTCTTTGTCACATGATGCCTTTGCGACTCTCTTGGTGTCGCAGCCGTGGCGGAGTGACATCGATCTTTATCGCCTGCCCCCTAAATCAATTATGAGCCCTATGAGAGAGTGCCAGAGAGGGGCGAGCAGGGTGTGCCGCTCCAGCTGTGCCAAGATATCTCTTTTTTGTGCTTGTTTTACAACATAAAGCTCTAACGTGTCATGATGACTGTAGTGGCGCTGCAATCACGGGGACGGGGGAATATCACAGATCTCAGCTCATATATTCAGCTGCTGCTCTCTTTTAAAGAAATTTCAGGGCAGCACTGATGAGGAGGAGTTGTAGAAAGGTACTTTTACATTAAGAATGTCATCTGATAAAATGAGCAAGATTAATGATTGTTTCAGGAGAGGAAAGTGCAGGATAAAAAAGGATTAGGAATAATGGGTGAGAAATGGTGCTATTCTCACCTTTCATTCAGTTTAAAAAACAAAAATCAGAGCACACAATAAGAGGTGTTTGTTTATAAAAGAGGCTAAAATAAACAGTGATGTGTCACTGTG